TGAGTAAAGGTGACTGACCGCCGTCAGTCACCTTTACTCAGATATTGTCCAAGATTAACCTTCAGGGTGGATATAGCTCGCTAGCAGCCTCGCACCGAGGACCTATCCACGTCATCATTTACCCAGAATGCTTTGTGTGCAAATAAAATGGCTCCGTCTGTGTTAAAATATATTTTACAGTTAAAATGTATGTTTATTAAATAAGGTCTTAATGTTACAACTAATCAGGGATCCCTTTTAAAAACCAGCTGATCTAATTTTACAATATGAGGGAATAAATACTGTAAAAATAAAACAATACCTTAAACATTTGTTTACCTGTAAACATTAAAATGTCTGCAACACATAAATGCGATGTGGGGGTCTGAATGGACAATGAGTCCGTTGTTGTTGTTGTTGTTGTTGTTGTTAGGAAGTGGGAACTTGTTTGTGTTCTGATCTCATGTCTCAGGAACAGAAGTGTCACTGTTAGCTCAGCGTCTTGCTGCAGTTTATTAAAGAACATTGTTTCTATCAGGAAACTGTACGTGGGGCATGAACTGCAGGTTCATCCACCCTGGCTTCAATGACAAAGGAAACTATTCCCTCATCAGTAAACCAGATCCTTTCTCACCTAATGGAGCCCCCCCCGGAGGACCACACCCCCTGATACCCAACAACCCCTGGGTGAGGCGCTGCACACATGAATATCAGGATTCACTTTGTCTGACTGATGGCGTGTGAGCCGGAAACCATAAATGACTGTTTCCATGTCGCAGGCCGGTCCTGCGGTGGAGGAACTCCCCCCTCCACCTCCGCCGGTGGAACCTCCTGTGGAGAGCGCCTGGGAGCGAGGGCTGAGGCACGCCAAAGAGGTAACAGCTTTATTTAGGAAGCAGCAGGTCACAGAGTCGGCTCAGGGCTCTGTTCAAACATTCATACATCCTAATAAATATCTTATATTAAAGAGAAATGTGTCAGTTTTACAGTCTGCAGCAGAAACTCTGGTCTTATCAAAGAAAACAGAGTCATTAAACAAACAGCTGCACAGAAAGAACTACTGAACCTGAGTGTATTAAAGACAAAGTCCTGTTTGTGTACGTGAAGGGGGCGGGGCTTAACGCTGATGAGACGCAGCAGCCTGCAGACCTAAAAACTGATTTAAACTTGTTGAGTTTTTAATGTCAGCTTTTAAACTGAGACTGATTCACCTGTAAACCTGAGGCTGCCTGACCTTTGACCTGTAGCCCCTAACCTGATCAGCAGCAGCCGAAAGGTTCACTTCAGCTTCCTTTGAACAGAAATGAGCTGTGTGCACAGGAAGCAGTAAGAAAATACCAACAGGTCCTGAAGAAGGCTTGTCTGGGTGTCAGAACTCTGGTTCTGGTTCTGAAAAAGGCCAGTCTGAAGGCTCCTGCATACTCCCTTCGAACTGCTGAAATGAGTTCGGATTGTCACAGTTTCATGACAAAAACTGCATCATTTTGTTCACATTGCTGACATTTGGGCAGCTTCTTGACACAACCCACGGGTCGAACTCTTTGCCTCCTCCACATAAGAACTTACTGTGTGAAGTTTGTGCTGAAAGTGCTCAGAAGCTGCATCTTATTTGAACCGCTCGCTTCAAACAAAACAAAAAAGCGACTCGCTTCATGAGCCGATTGTAAATGTTAAATGGACTGTACGTATACAGCACCTTTCTATCCATCCAGGACACTCAGAGCTCTTCACACTACAATCTGTGTCCTCATTTACCCATTCACACAGCACTCTGTTAGCTCTCTACAAAGATAACATGTACAATCAGCTATGGAGACTAATCAGTGCCAATCACATTCATACACTGATGGGACACATCAGAGGCATTAGGGCTGAAGTGCCTTGCCCAAGGACGACACAACTGAGACAGCTGGACGGGGGTTCGAACCGGTGACCTTCCTGTTCCAGGACGACTCCCCTAACCACTGTGCTACAGCCAGAAGAGGCAATTAATAAAGAGTCAAACGGCCAAAACACATGGATGGAGATAAAACAATCATTTTCCACGGTGGAATCTGACTGATAAAAACGTTGGAGCTTTAACCAGGACAGATTTGTGGATAAATAACATCGGGTGACGAGTCTCTGACTTTTTTTCACATTGCGGACTTCAGCGGGAGGAACCCCCTGTAGTGACGTATGCTGCAGCGGGAGGGGTTTCCCAGGAGCTCGGTGCGGGGTGTCTCAGGGACTAAGTTGTGTGCAAAAACAAATGCCACACAACCACGTGACTGCGCATCGACTGTTTGGCTTCAGAGGGAGTATGTAAAGGTTTCAAGTGTCAGAACTCTGGTTCTGGTTCTGTTTCAGGTCCTGAAGAAGGCCAACATCCGTAAGGAGCAGGAGCCCGACTTCGAGGAGAAACGTTTCAACGTGACGATCGGCGAGGATGAGAAAGAGTTGGACAAAGAGAACGAGTTCTTCAGAGAACGCAGCTACCGCATCATCAGAGAGTATGTCCACACACACACACACACACACACACACACACACACACACACACACACAC